TATCTTTAAAAGGACACCTTAAAAGACTTATACCTTTACTGCTAGTTTCACACTCACACTCTTTTATCCATACTTATTATTCCTTGAATAGATGTCCTATTCTCATTTCATTCTAGTTAGGCTTTTTCCTTATCTTCAGAAATTTCTTCCTTCCTCATACTAAAACTGTTAGTTTTAACACATTTCTATCACCACTACCATGTCACTTGCAGTACTTTTCTTGCCACCAATACTGTGTCACTCTTCCTTGTTATCTCACGCAAGCTGAAATAGTAACCTCATGCACTTTGTCATTGGTTTTACAATGTGAAGTGCTCATAGAATGGCTGGATTTTTTTTTAGATTGCAAACTTCAACTTGACTTTGTATGTTGCAGAGGGCTGGGAACACTGATAGACCTAAACAATGATCCTAAGATTTCAGTCTTCCCCTTCAAGGTGGAATATATCTTTGCAGTTGCCAGTTCCTAGTGTGTAATTTTTCTATGATCTTTCAATTCTCTTAAGCTTTCTCCAGTATCTTTTCAAGCAGTTTTCAAGACAGCTGATTTTGGAGGCAATGAAAAGATGCTAAAGCTCACTTAGGTAGAGATGTGTTTGATAGAGTGTCCCCTTGAAAAAAATTAAGCTGAAAGAATAAAGGGACAACTGCATGATGGATAAAGAACTGGGTTAAGGAGAGAAAGAAGTGGCAGTTAAATGGAGGTACCAGGTTAAAGGTAGCTTTTTGATAATATTTCTCAGCAGATGATTTTTGCCATAATTCCATTTAATTTTTTTACTAATGGCATTGGCTTTATCAGGAGTGTGTGAGGAAATTTGTTGAAAGCAGGAAGAACAGTCTTACTAGTGTAAAGAATTGATATGTCACACAAGACGAACCAGTTGGTGTTGATGAGTAGAATGTTAGATGTGTGCTGAAATTCACCAGCTAAAAATGTCATAATAATGAAAACAGGTAGTACAACAAATTTTGACTGGAAAGTAGAATACAGAACCACACCTTAATCAGTATTGAAACCAGCTTTTCAATAAAATGGGTGCTTGTTTTGGTGCTCAAATTGTTTATGAAAGGTGTTTTCGAACACAAAGCCTGTAATTCAATCCAGTGAGCCACTAATTTATCCTCAGGTGTATAGATTATGTCTCAATATAATATGACTGTGTAGAAAAAAAAGGATGGGTACACTCCTTAAATGAAGAAATTAGTTGGTGTTTAAATGATGTGTCAGAGTCACACAGTTTACAGAACAAACACTGTTGGCCAAATCCTCAGCTGATAATAAATCATCACTGAACTTAGTAAACTGTCACATAGTATATCAGTCTGGTAAACTTTGAACTTTGCTACTTCTGAACTGTACAAAGTAAGTAGATCTTTCTCTTTGCAGAATGTGAGCTGGAATGGATGAAAGCAAAAGGGATTTGCACTGGATGTCCAAGTGCCTTGGGTAGTATTGCTTTCAAAGCAGCACTGTGACACCACATGTAACAAAGTGCTTCCAGTTCTCAGTATAGAGACAGATACAGATTATTTTATATTTTGCTTTGTGTTCTGAACTTGGCCTTTTGAGGAGAAAAAGTGAACTTTGTCCACTTGAGGAGAAAAATAAACCAAGCACTCTTCACTTAACGCTTAAGCAGCACTTTCTAAACAGAAATAGATCATTGTCTGCAAACTGTAGATTTTGTGCCTTCTTTTTCATATTTTGCAGAGAGTAGGTAAGAAAATGCTTTAAAAACATATTTTTGCCCTCACTTTTACATGGTTAAAATCTCAATCATCCCTTGTTTAGTGCTTGCCTTTAGCATTGCAGTTCTCATCCCAGCTTTGTCTTATTCAACAGCAAGATTAAGCAGCATAAGAAAATCCTCTATGTTTTTTTTCTTATGAATGATTGCACCTCTAACTACAAAATATATCAGCTGTGAGTTTTAAGTAGCAGGTACCTCTAGAAATGCACTCATAGTTAAAGAAAATCTCCTTGCTTTGTAAGTAATGAAGTGTATGGTCAATTTGGAAGACTGAAATTCTTTCTTTCCATGATTTTGAAAGCAGATGAGTTCAGACACGAACGCACTCTGCGTTTGGACCACAACAAAGTAAAATGTCTCATAAGGATGTGTTTGGAAGATTGTACTGTGGCAATTTAGATGTGTTCTAAGAAAATTTTTTGCTTTATTTAATGGTACAGAATTCTTTTTAAAGAAAAGCAGGCTGCTTAGATTCAGATGTATCTAGGGTAAAAGAAGTGAGAATGATTCCTGCACACAGTCCCAGAGGAGCACCAAAGAAACAGTGAAATGGAGACAAATGTAAGTCTACCATAACAGGGTTTTTTAGGCTATAATTTTTGTATCTGGAGCAAGATTCCACCATAAGCTAGAATAGAAGGCAACAGAGACAGGTGCAGTGAAACATCACCTGAGAGAGTCAAAAGGCAATAAAACATTAGTACACTAGTGAAAAAGAATATACTGGTTTTATTAAGGAAAGAAACAAAATTAAAGCAGTAGCATTCAAGGAAGTTATGCATTCAGGCAAACTTGAACTGTAGCTAGGTTGCTCTGTAAATCAACTTTATTTTATTCACCTCGTAGTCTATTATTCCAGCACAATGTCACCGACTTCAGTTTTTCACTATGGATAAAACTGAACAACCATAGGGAAATGCATCTCGTTATTGATAATGGCTTTCTTGCCGCTTCCTGCGAAGAACTTGGACATATCCATTGTCACAGGATAAACTACAGAGGCAAGTCTTACCCAGTCAAATGCTGCAAATGTTATTTCAATAAAAATTGATTCATTGCATGGAATTCTCATGGAAGATCTTGCCTATCCTTACCACTCTCCCTTGGAGTATACACAACCACTTGAGGTGTCGTGTGTGCTTAGTTAAACTAGAGAAATCTTCAGAGCATTACCAAAAATATTGTAATCTTGAGTCTTTTTCACTGCTGCTACTGAGGACTGTCACAAAAGGACTTTTAGTAGAGATCATGCCCCAGCAGCTTCAGTAGCTTATGATCCAACTCTACCTGAAGGCAATTCTGGGTATGACAATTAGGAAGCAACCTCAGCTTTTTTTCTGACCTGCCCCATCTGCTGTGGTAAAAACTAACCCAGTCACACAAAACAACACATTAAGGAAATGTTAAGGAAAATGTTAATGGAGATAAAATCTGGTTACCTACAACAAATTTTCCATGACTTAATTTCTTTCAGAGTAGCTTGCTGTAGTCTTCAGAAGGGGGGACATAGTTCCTTCTGAGCTTCATGCAACACAGAAGACTAAAATTATCTGGACAGAATATTGCACATTGGATCAGCTTGACACATTTAGCCTGTGATCTCTGATGAAATAAAAACCTTGCCACTAGATCTTGCTCAGAAGAATCACCCTAATACCGAAGGAAACAAGTTTAGGAGCAGTGCTAGCTAAAAGCTTCCCATTAAATGTAGGGTGATTTTTATTGGGAGCAGTTTGGGGTAAGAGGTTTCAGGTGTGAAATTAGATTTTAATGGAACATCTTTTCCTACGTTCTTTGAAGGGCAATATAATTGGTTTACCAAGACACCAAGAAGTTAAAATCCAAATACCTTAGGGTGAAAACCCCCTGCTTTTTTGCACTGGACTTTTTTCTTAAAATTTCCATCAAAGTGAATTTTTAAAAATAATTTTTGCCAGTAGGATTCCCCTTTGTCTCCCCATTTTTCTTCAACAGTCTGTGGTGTATCTACACTCCTTTACTTTTTGGGCAACTGTCTTCAAAAATGTGGACTGTCTCTGATGCTACCATAATTGATCTGCATGAACTTCAGCAGGTTCCTCAGTATTTTTTTGAGACAGTTCTTTACTTAGAGAATAGGGACAGATCTTCTACCACCAGTGTGCTTGTTGTGAGGTTAGTGGTGCAAAGTTTAATAATGTTCATGAAATATTTAATTTTTTTCCAGTGGGTAGCACTGAGGTAACCATTTAGACTCCCTCATTAATACACCAAATATGTTATAGATGGGTATTCCATCACTGTCAACAATGACAGCATCTGTTTTGCTTTAAAATATCACAAAGGAGATATTTTGATATTCTGACCAAGTGAAATAAAGTAACTCATGTCCTTGTAGTTAAGTTCTATCTGTCCATAATAGGAATGGACAAATGCATGTTACATATTATTCAGAGGTGTCCGAAGTTTGATTTGGATCTCATGGACCTAGCTACCTTTTCCTCCTACACAGAAAAGTTTAAGTTTCTGGAATTGCTCCTCAAATCCTTAGTTCCATTATCAAATCTCTGGATTGCTGTGATGACTGATGGTGTCTGGAAGAACACGAGCTCTAAAAATGCAAATGAGCAGTATGTGGGAAACATGAACTGCTGTAGCTAAACTGCATTAGAACAAAGTCAACTACACTAAAAGACAGAAAATTTGGACTGCTATTGCCCTCGGTACAAAAGCCTTTCCCATCTTGATACTGGCCATGCCTCTTAGAACAAAATTCCAGAAGCTGCTCCCCTCTATCAGCACATCAGAGACCTTCCACTTCTCCTCCAAAAGACATAAGAGATCCCTACCCTGCCCTATTTCTAAGTGTCTGCAGCCTCTCTTCAGCAGAAACTACACATCCAAAAACTTAAAGTTCCCAAACACTTTCCCAGGCATATTTTTAGTGTGTCAAAAGGCTCAGTTTCTCAGATGATGTGGATTTGGAGGTCTCAGTAAAAAGGCTATTTGTGACAAACCATGTTCCCAGCTAAAGGTCATTACATAGTTGCCTACATGGAAGTCACAGGGAAAATACCTGGCAGCCTTGTGACCACTAAGAAAAGAGGATCATGAGTGGGTACTAGGAAAACATATCTTAATTGTGCTTCATAATTTGTAGCACTTAATAAAAGCCACAGAATTATTTATAGCTTTTATAAAAGAAAGGAGCTGTGTGCATTTCCCATTCTTACATCTCAATGGCCAATTGGTCCCAGTTACACTCACCTGCTAATTTCATGACCATGGTGATGGCAAGCAGCACAAAAACATACACAGGCTTCCCAGCAAACTTCATGTTGGTTCCTCCTTTCATGGCTCAGGCAGGTCCATCACTCCATCCATCCCTCCGCCAACTTAACTGTGGAAACAGGGAGCATTTCTTGCCTGCCAGTACATCCTCAGCAGCCAGTGTCAGCGTTTCCTCTCCCCCTTTCCCATGCCTCTCCTTTAGCTGTGCATGCCCCTGATCGACTGGCTCCTCAAAGCTGGAGAGGTTCCTCCTTCTGACTTTTCAGAGCACTTTTCAGAGCTTCCTGTGCTGAGAACCCAGGCAAACACCGAGGAAACAGGCTGAGCAATTCTGCCTTCCGTTCATTGGCTCTCCTCAGGAGGCTGATGAGTGAAGATAAACCCTGCAGCAGAGTTCAGAGAGATTAAAAGCAGAGAAGATTATTCAATGCTCAGTTTAATATCAAAAAGGAAATCTTAGTCTTGGGAAACTAGAGAGAAACTTATTCCTCATGTTTCTCGCTATTTTTACTTCTGCTACTTCTTTATCACGTCTTCGGCACAACCTCCAGGAAAATTCTTCTGCATGTCTTCCTCAAAATAAAAAGCAGTCTTAAGGCTTCTCTGTAAGTGACATTTTCAATTATTTCTCTCTTAAGTACCTACTTAGCCCATGGAATTCTACAATTCTCATATATATATACACAAACTTGTAAGTTCAGGCCTTGTGAACTCTTAAATAAGTTGTACTTTTACTCCATCCCCACCCCTGCCAGCTAAAAAATTACAAATCCAAACCTCATGTTTTGCAGAATCTGAAAAAAATTGTGAATATGGGACAGTTTCCAGAAAATTGCAGAATGTCTCTTTCTGGAAGGCTGAAACAAGGAAACAGTAAATATTTCCAAAATGAAACACTGATACTTCACATTTAAATGATGCTTTTGTTTAGAAACTGATCTAATTTGAAGGGGCAGAAATCTTTACAAAAGACAAAATATTGAGCAATTTTTTATTTTTTTTTTTGAACATCTGAAATTACATTTTTTCTCTGGACAACAAAAACAAAAAAAATCCACTATTATGTGCCCTTAATTTAGTGCAGGATTCCCATGGGGTCACAGCCTCCTCTCACACATCCACCTGCTCCAGCGTGGGGATGCTCCATGGGCTGCAGGTGGATCTCTACCCCACTGTGGACCCCCATGGGCTGTGGGGGCACAGCTGCCTCATCATGGTCTGCACCACAGGCTGCAGGGGAATCGCTGCTCCAGCCCCTGGGGCACCTCCTGCCCCTCCTTCTCCAGCCTCGGTCTCTGCAGGGCTGTTTCTTTCGCACATTCTCACTCCTTTCGCCAGGTGAAGTTGCTTGGATGTTTGCCCCCCACTGCTTAAATGTGTTATCCCAGAAGATGGACTTTCCAGTGAACAGCAGTGGAGAAGTTTGCCTGCTGAAATTCCACCAGGGGACACCATTAATTTTATGGGTACAAGAAACTGTAAAAAAGTGAAGTATTCTTTGTGCATAGGGACTTGTTTTCAAACTTTAATAAGGTTCCTTCCTTTTACAATTTTTTTTCACCAAGTGCCATGACTTGTGAACCTGCAAAGATGGAGGTACTTCAGGGAGAAGAGAGGAGCCAACCCTTGAGAGTAAAGAGATGGGATGCATAAAGCAGCATAAATGTTGGTACCATGGGAAAGATGCTGAGCAGTGTGGGAACACAAATAGGACAGACAAGAGTTTTGTGTAGATGAGAAGGATTTGGGTAAAGCACATGTGTGTATTAGGTTAGTCCTGTATGGGGTAAATTAAGAGCTCCAAAATCCTGTGGCTCGCTCTGCTACAGGCAACGTAGTAATTTTCCTGAAAATTTCCACAGGAAAATACTGTCTTTAAATAAGAAACTGGGGTGTTCTTTGAGGAAAAGCTACCTCAAAATTATAAGATTAAATCAGTATTTTAAAGAGAAGCGATGACTTTCATTAACTTTTTCTTTTTATGAATAAAGAAATGGAAACAACAATTATTGTGGACAAGGTAATACTTACAGTCCTGCAATCAGAATGATGAGATTTGCCCTTGTTCAGAGTGGAAAGGGGAAACTTTTTCAGAATGAAAAGTCTATGCTAAATATTTCTCACCAGAAATTGAATGTCGCCCACATCTTTCACTGAAAAATATATTTGGGGGTTGTTGTTTTTTTCAGAATACTCTTGTGTAGGTTGTTTTAAAATAATATTGTATCAGTTTCTCCACTTCCTCACTGCTACAATAATTTACAACTCAGGGTTCCCCCTCCTTTCCTAAGCCACAGCATTTCCCCAGCACAATTCTGAGGGCCAGTGGTAGAGAAAAGGCCTCAGCTATTAAAAGCTACAAGTCAGAATAATTAGCAATGAGGACAGGGACACAAGAGGAAAAGACAGAAAATAGATAAAAGTTAGCAGGAAATTAACTGGCTCAGGCGTTAGGACTGCACACTATGTTTAAACTGTTGTGATGACTCCAGTCTGATGTTCTGGTAATTTTGTTTGACCAGACTGGTGTTCCAAAATGGTCTGTATTGATGCTCGCTGGAACTGAGGAGTATGAATTAAATTCTTATGTAAATAAGCAAAAGGAAGACTGATAATGATCATATAAAGAAAATAATGCAAAACACAATATCAGATGGATGATTTTAGTCCCAGGAACATCTCAGTGGCTACTGCTTTTTGTGGGAGGGTGCTCTTTATATTTTTATCCACTTAATTTTTAAAATTCAGTACAGGATTTTGACACTCCTCTTTATTGTTCTGAGGTTTTCAATGTGCTATTCACAGTAACACTGATTTATTTTCTGAGTATTTACCATTAACCATGGAATTAGTAATGCATGTGAACAGATATCATCACTGTCTTTTAGACAAGGGCGTGGAGAGGAAGAAGAAATGATTATGTAAGTAAAGATAAGAAAATTGGAAATAGGCAAAATGTAAGCAGTGCCAGGCCTCAAATGTAAAAGAAGTGCTCAAATCTGATGCAAAGACAAGAGAATATTAAGACGTAGAAAATGTGTACTGGATACAAGATTGCTGTATAAACCAAAAAAAATAAGAGACGCAACGGGATAGAGGAGATTTTGGAAGACAGAAAATTCTCTTCTAAATAAGAAAAATCCAGCTTTAACTTGTCATCATGGCAGATCTTTACTATAGAAATTAATTCAGAACCAGAAATTAGACAGCTAGATACTTTAGGGTAGAATTATTTAAGATGTCATTAAGATACTTTGGAAGGAACTCTTTAATTGAGGGCACAGAATTTGGGAAGTGAGATATGAGAAGTGTGTAGGTCATGACAGAAAACAGAAGTTTACCACAAGAAGTGACAAGTAATAGCAGCAGACTTTTCTCCAAGTTACATATTGAGAGCCAGATCCCATGACATAGAATTCATAGGAAACTAGAATTGTTTGGGTTGGAATGGTCCTTAAAGATCATCTGTTTCCAGCCCTCCTGTCATAGGCAGGGACATCTTTCCCTAGATCAAGTTGCTCAAAGCCCCATCCAACCCAGCCCTGGAACACTGTCAGGGATGGCATCCACAGCTTCTCTGGGCAACCTGTTCCCAGAGGGAGTCTCACTACCCTCACAGAACAGAATCTCTTCCTTATATCTAACCTAAACCTACTCTCCTTCAGTTTAAAGCCATTGCCCTTTGTCCTGTTGCTATATGCCATTGTAAGGTCCCTCTCCAGCTCTCTAGCGAGTTGCCATTAGGAAGGCTGCTCTGAGGTCTCCCTGAAGCCTTCTCTTCTCCAGACTAAACAACCCCAACTCTCTCAGTCTGCCTTTATGATGCCCTCTGATCATCTTGGTGGCCCTCCTCTGGGTTCTCTCCATCAGGTTCACATCCTTCTTAATTTGTGGGCTCCAGATCTGGATGCAGAACTCCAGATGGGGTGTAACCAGGGCAGAGCAAGAGGGTAAGAATCACCTTGCTTGCCATGCTGGCCACACCGCTTTTATTGTAGCCCAGAAAGCCAAGAACATCCTGGCTGTGTGCAAAACGATGTGTTTGACCTTTTGGGCTGCAACAGGATGCTGTATTTCATCCACAAACACCCCCAAATCTTTCACCTCAGGCCTGTTATTGATTTATTCTCCACCCACCCTGTGTTTGTGCTTGGTATTGCCCTGGCCCAGGTGCAGGACCTTGTGCTTGGCCTTGTTGAACTTCATGAGGTTTGTGCAGGCCCAGCTCTCAGGCATGTCCATGTCCCTCTGGATGGCATCCCTTCCCTCCAGTGTGTTGACTGCACCTCAGAGCTTGGTGTTGTGGGCAAACTCGCTGAGGGTGTGCTCAGTCCCACTGTCCTTGTAGTCACAAAAGTGTTTAAGTGCCCCATCCCAGCCCCTGAGGAACGGCACTCATTGCTCTCCACTGGGACACTGAGCCCGTGACTGCAGTGAGTGTGACCATCCAGCCAAATCCTTGTCCACTGTGGTGTGGCCTGAGCCTCTTCAGTCCAGAGATGAGGATGTTGTGTGGGACAGTGTCATGTGCTCTGTTTGTACAAGACCAGGTAGATTACTCTTCCCTCATCCACCAATGCCCTCACCCATCATGGAAGGCCCTGCAATCTGCCAGTGAAGCCATGCTGGCTGTCTCAAATCACCTCTTTACTTTCCATGTGCCTTGGTATAATTTCCAGGCAAATCTGCTCCATGATCTTGCCAGGCACAGGAGATTGATCCTGTAATATCCCTGGGTCTTCATTATTTTCCTTTTTAAAAGGGGATATGTTTCCCCTTTTCCAGTCAGTGGGAACTTTACCAGGTTGCCACATCTGATCTTGTGAAGGAACAGAATGGGACAGAGAATGACCTATATGAAGAAATAATGCATGTAGTAGAAATTAAACTTGTCAGGATTTGCTGGCTTCATGAATTAGAAACATAGTGTGCATTTAATATAAAGGAAGAAAAGTGGAAAGACTGGGATAGCTGAAGCTGAAGTTTGAGGCATAGTTGAGGATGAAGACATTGCCAACTACAACAATTAAAGATATGCTTCAATTAAGTCCCTGTTTCCACACAGCAGCAGAAAAACTCAAGCATTGTTCGTATAAAGTGCTATGAAGAATCCTCACAGCCTTGCTGGAGACTGAACTTTCCCTGTCTTCTGAGTTCTAAGAGCACAGATCTAGGCTCTGCCTGTGGTTTTCAGTGTGGGTTATTGCAGTGCCATTTTATGTTAATTATCATAAATGTCATCAGATATTATTT